AACTGTTACCAGTACTGGGTTGATTGACTTCATCATGACTGGGCTGACTAACTTTAACCATACTTGACTAATTAACTGTTACCAGTACTGGGTTAATTGACTTCATCATGACTGGGCTAACTTTAACCATACTAGACTAATGAACTGTTACCATTACTGGGTTAATTGACTTCATCACGACTGGGCTAACTTTAACCATACTAGACTAATTAACTGTTACCAGTACTGGGTTAATTGACTTCATCACGACTGGGCTGACTTTAACCATACTAGACTAATTAACTGTTACCAGTACTGGGTTTAATTGACTTCATCATGACTGGGCTGACTTTAACCATACTAGACTAATGAACTGTTACCAGTACTGGGTTGATTATGTTTATCAGTAGACCAAATGACATTTGTGGTCAGCATCAGGCCAGCCGCCTTTACTTCCCAGGACTCTACCTGGTACCAATTAAGCCTGGATCAACCTGGGAGCCAGGTCATTGTTGAACAATGACAGGAACCGAACCCACTACTTTCTGATCCACAGGCGAGCATCTAGCCACTAGACCACGGCGGCTCCCTTGCTAGTTATGAATGTTTATTTTACCAGCTCTGCAATTATTTACTTTGCCTTTTTTTTTTTTTTAATAGTATATGTACTTCAGAAGGTCTCTGTGGCTCAGTTGGCCATTAACGAATGCAATTTTTAATGAAGATTCCTGGGGATTGTCACCAAAGTTACAGAGTTTTTGCTTTGAGCGACGTTCTCAGTTAACGGCTATCCATTCTGTGGAGAGAGGCTGAACTATATGGGTTAAGATCCAGTGCGCCGAACTATATGGGTTACAATCCAGTGGGCCAAACTATATGGGTTAAGATCCAGTGCGCCGAACTATATGGGTTAAGATCCACTGTGCCGAACTATATGGGTTAAGATCCACTGTGCTGAACTATATGAGTTAAGATCCAGTGCGCCGAACTATATGGGTTAAGATCCAGTGCGCTGAACTATATGGGTTAAGATCCAGTGCGCTGAACTATATGGGTTAAGATCCAGTGCGCTGAACTATATGGGTTAAGATCCAGTGCGCTGAACTATATGAGTTAAGATCCAGTGCGCCGAACTATATGGGTTAAGATCCAGTGCGCCGAACTATATGGGTTAAGATCCAGTGCGCCACACTATATGGGTTAAGATCCAGTGCAATGGATTTGATCCTCTCCACTTTAAACTTTAAATCTTTGTTGGTTTTATTTGTTAATTTACAAGTGCTGGGTTGATTAATATTAGTGATTTTACTAACTTTAACATTACCAGTAATGGCTTGACTACTTTACCAGTGCTGAATTTAGTAACTATGCAAAAGCAGTTAGAAAACTGAATTGAGGACCTAAAGATGTGAATATATAGAAGAATGGGCCATGTTTGATGGCTAAAAAAAAATATACATACAGAAATTCTGATTGTTTACAGTGAGTGAATATATTTACGGAAAAACAGTTGACCGTGTTTGGTCCCCAGAAATGGCTGTTTGGTTACCTGCAGTCCTGTGTGAGGTGAGGGTGCCATAACTTGGTAACAAGCAATATAAAAGGTATTTGGATACCATAGTGAGTTTGCACTGTAAGGATACGTCATTGGAATATTTAACTCGTCTACTGCATGTTGCAGAATTTCAAAATGCAAGAAGTATTGTATGCATTGACACTTCATTTTTTTGTAGTCCATTAAAGCTTACAAAACTGGTTTTAAAGTGAGTTCTTAGTTTCTTTTTTTGTGTGTGGTAGAAAACATAATTGGTCTTTCAGGTTGGAGGTTGAAGTGAAACAGATTAAGTCTCAAATTTGAATGGATTTAGATGGACAACGACCCATGGTTTAAAAAAAAAAAAAAGCTGTGTACACAAGAAAGTTGAATGGGAGTGAACCACAAGGAACAAGAAGTTGGTGGGAAAATAATATCCAGGCAGATTTATAAACACATGGAGTTAGCAACTGGTAAGAGAAGGCCAATCACAGAGAGGAATTGAGGCTGGTGACCTCAGAGCAATCAACCTCAAGGGCTCGGAAGGCTGAAGAAGAAGAAAAACATAACTAGAACCAATAAAGCCAAAGGAATCAAGGAAGACCAAAGAAGACAAAGCTTTTATTTATACAGTGAAGCTCTCGGATGTGGCAAATTTATGTTGTGAAGAATAATTCGTTTATCCCTGGACATTTTTCTTGCTTGAATATTTATACGAGGAATTTCTGTTTAAAAAAAAAAAAAGAATTTCTTGGGTCCTCGATGAGTTCTACTTATGGGTCTTCACTGTGTTATGTCAACATTCAATTAATGTTAACATTGTACAAGGATTAAAGATGTGGTTTTATTTAGAAAGGGCTGAAAAGTGGTCATTACCAGCCTAAATCTCATTGGACTCATTGTAGACCAGTCAGTAATGTGATCTTAATTATGTCAGCCACCCTGTAAGCAAGTGCACTAACCATTACAGTATAACAGCCTACTGTACTGAAGTGCACTTATTATTACAACCTCATATAAGCAAGGGCACTTACCATTACAGTTTAACAGCCTACTGTACTGAAGTGCACTTATAATTACAACCTCATGTAATCAAGTGCACTTACCATTACAGTATAACAGCCTACAGTACTGAAGTGCACTTATCATTACAACCTCATGTAAGCAAGGGCACTTACCATTACAGTATAACAGCCTACAGTACTGAAGTGCACTTATCATTACAACCTCATGTAACCAAGGGCACTTACCATTACAGTATAACAGCCTACAGTACTGAAGTGCACTTATCATTACAACCTCATGTAAGCAAGGGCACTTACCATTACAGTATAACAGCCTACAGTACTGAAGTGCACTTATCATTACAACCTCATGTAAGCAAGGGCACTTACCATTACAGTATAACAGTCTACTGTACTGAAGTGCACTTATCATTACAACCTCATGTAATCAAGTGCACTTACCATTACAGAGTTTACAGCCGTTGAACACAAAGAAGAAGAAGAAGTTCTCTAATCATTGCACTGTCACAGCCTTCTGCAATCATCTGTACTAACCATCATACTAACCTCCTGTAGTGAAGTGCACTAACTATCACCACCTCATGTAATCAAGTGCATTGTCTATTACACCACCTCAACTTCATGTAACAAAGTGCACTCACATTACACTATCACAACCTCCTATAATCAAGTACACTAAAATGACACTATCACAACCTCCTATAATCAAGTGCACTAAAATGACACTATCACAACCTCCTATAATAAAGTGCACTAAAATGACACTATCACAACCTCCTATAATAAAGTGCACTAAAATGACACCATCACAACCTACTATAATCAAGCACAATACAATTACAGCATCACAGCATGTAATCAAGTACTTCAACATTAAGCTGTCCCAACCTTCTATAATCACATGCACCAGTCATCACAGCCTTCTATAATCAAGTGCACCCATTGTCACAACCTATTATAATCAATTGCACTAATCATCACAACCTTCTATAATCAAGTTCAGTCATCATCACAATCATTTATAATCAAGTGCACCAATCATCACAACCATCTATAATCAAGTGGACCAATCATCACAACCTTCTATAATAAAGTGCACTAATTATCACAACCATATATAATCAAGTGCACCAATCATCACACCCTTGTATAATCAAGTGCAACAATCATCACAACTTTCTATAATCGAGTGCACCAATCATCACAACCATCTATAATCAAGTGCACCAATCATCACAACCTTCTATAATAAAGTGCACTAAGTATCACAACCATCTATAATCAAGTGCACCAATTATCACACCCTTGTATAATCAAGTGCACCAATCATCACAACTTTCTATAATCAAGTATACCAATCATCACAGCCTTCTATAATAAAGTGCACTAATTATCACAACCATCTATAATCAAGTGCACCAATCATCACACCCTTGTATAATCAAGTGCAAAAATCATCAAAACTTTCTATAATTGAGTGCACCAATCATCACAACCTTCTATAATCAAGTGCACCAATCATCACAACCTTCTTTAATAAAGTGCACTAAGTATCACAACTGAAATGAGCCAAAACGTAGACTTGAAGTTACGCTTTCAACTATCTTGAAACGTACCTTGGCTTACACCGACTTCAACGTCTAGGGTTGACAACACAAACGCCACTCGGCTCCTTTGTACAATCTGTCAGTTTATTCTGGTCCATTTATTTCACATGTTCAAACATTATTCACACTTTATCACTCGCGACATATTCAAACATTAACCATTCTCGCGACATAAAGACGACATCTTCAATTACTACAACCGTCTTCCCTGACTTCTAATGATCGACTGACCACGAGGCTAGCTCGGGCTTCGCCTCGCTTACTCCACCGGCCACAAGTATCTCGTGCCGTCACTTGTAGCACGGACTTCCTGCTTGCCACAATGTACTCGTGGAGACCATGCAAAGCAGGGTCATCACAACAACCATCTATAATCAAGTGCACCAATCATCACACCCTTGTATAATCAAGTGCACCAATCATCACAACTTTCTATAATCAAGTGCACCAATCATCAAAACTGTCTATAATCAAGTGCACCAATCATCACAACTTTCTATAATCAAGTGCACCAATCATCACAACCTTCTATAATCAAGTGCACCAATCATCACAACCTTCTATAATCAAGTGCACTAACATTATGTCATTACTGCCTCCTATAACAAGTTTACAAACATTTCATCATCACTATCCTATAATCAAGTGCACAAATGCTACATCATAACTACCTCCTTTAATCAAGTGCACAATTGTTACATCATCAGAGCCTCTAGTAATAAAGTGCACAAACATTACATCATTAAAATACCATGTAATGAAGTACATTACTCATTACACCAAAAGAAATATTACACTTACAAATATAAATGAACAGTAAAGCAGCAAAGACAAAATCTACTCAAACATAAAAGATCACTTCACTAGTCTGTGCTCATCTATGTTACCATATCTCACTCCGTTTTCTCCGACTGGCCAGGTCAAGAGATCGTTATTATAACCAGGGTATGCCCGTTTGGGCTGGGCTGTGTATTGAAATACAGCATTTCCTCTGTCCTTGCATATCCCAGTGTGGTAGCCATCACCGTCACTTGAGTCTCTGCTTTCCAATGGACGTCTGCATCGGCCCGCAGGAACTAAGTCGCTGTCCATGCACAGTCGTAATTTATTTGAGAGGTAGCTTGGCCAAGTAGCTTGTGCTTTTCCCTTGTTGTGGATGTTATGAAATCTCTTTGGGCGACGCCTGAAATAATCAGATTTGTTACACATTTTAGATTAAATCTGTTAGGGAAATCTGAAATATATTTGTTATGAGTGTGATGAAATCTGTTTGGGAGATGTCTGAAACAGATTTGTTATTAATGTGATGAAATCTGTTTGGGAGATGTCTGAAACAAACAGATTTGTTGTTAGTGTGATGAAATCTGTTTGGGAGATGTCTGAAACAAACAGATTTGTTATTAATGTGATGAAATCTGTTTGAGAGATGTCTTAAACAAACAGATTTGTTATTAATGTGATGAAATTGGTAGATGGCTGGGATCAAAAATAAAATATAAAAAAACTGATCACATCCAAAATCCACATCTGAAATCTAAAGTTTACAGATCAACAAATGAAAGCTGCAACCAGAATCTAGCACAAGATAACCAGCTGTCATTTACAATTAAATAAAGACTGATTATTCCTATCATTTCAGAATAACGGTTTAATGACACAAGCCTAAAAATTGTTGATGCTCATACTGTTTGTCAGACTGCAAAGCAGTCTAACACCAAATCATCTGCAGACTTCAAACCCAAATGTGTCAGGATTGTGAAACTACTTTCACAACTTCTAAGCCACAAACACCAGTGAAGAGTTAAACAGAAAAAAATTGTAAGCAGGAAGATAAGCTAATTTTTTCCAAATAAAGGTAACCTTGAACTATTTCTTTTTCTCCTCTTCCTTCTTCTTTTGCTTCTGTGTCTGCCCTTGAAAATGCAGATGGCATATCATGTTGTGGTTTACAGCAAGACTGTGATAGCTGTGCTTTTTAGTCCAACACATGTGATTTCAGCAAACCCCTAATTAATCACCTTTAACTCTTGGTTGGTTGGGTTAGAGGAGCAGTGGGTCTATTTATTCTGTTCCTACCAAGACTGAGGCCTTGGAACCCACACAGGAGTTAATTGCTTCAAAATTTACTGAAGTAAACATAAACTTAAATTATTTCAAAATTGACTGAAGTAAACATAAACTTTAAATGCTTCAAAAGCTACTGAATAAACATAAACTTTAATTGTTTCCCAATTTACTGAAGTAAACATAAACTTTAAATGCTTCTAAAGCTACTGAAGTAAACAAACTTTAATTGTTTCAAAATTTACTGAAGTAAACATAAACTTTAAATGCTTCAAAAGCTACTGAAGTAAACAAACTTTAAATGCTTCAAAAGCTACTTAAGTAAACATAAACTTTAATTGTTTCAAAAGTTACTGAAGTAAACATAAACTTTATTGTTTCAAAAGTAACCGAAGTAAACATAAACTTCAATTGTTTCAAAAGTTACTTGTTATACTTACTGAGTGTGCTTGTTGTAATTTTGAAAGGTCATTCTGCTATCCACTTTACGAGAAATGAGAGCTTGGCCAGAAATGAAATTCTCCTTATGAACCTTCGGTACCACAGATGAACTAGACGGATATTCACCTTGAACTGTGAGATAACCTTGACCAATTGGTATCTCTGTCTGCTCATGACCATTTACCAAAGTTTTCCTTTGTGGTAACTCTTCATCCCTACTGTTACTAGCATCATCAATATTTCTTTTTAAATGACTATAACTGCTACTGGTAAATCCAGATTTTTTGTCCGGATATGTGACCTTCCAGTTATTTGCATTACCTCTGACTGATCTAATTTTAGTGAAAGGATGTGTCTGGTCAGTGAATTGTCCAACAGGTGAATCAGTGGTTTGTTTCAGCTCACTTAGTGACTGATCTCCAGGGTAGAGAGTTACTTGGGGAAGAGAAAATGTTTTTACAATTACACAAATATTTACTAATCCAATATCATAAATTAGTAAGAAATAATAGCTAGCAGGAATCTCAGAGAATCAACAGGGGAGGAAAAGGTGGCAGCACTGGATAGGCACATACTGAGAAAGAAATACATTTAGAATGGTCTTTGCACTGGAACCCACAAGGTCAAAGGAATAAAGGTAGACCAAAACACAAATGGAGAAGAGAATTAAAGAATGAGGTGACAATGATGGGGAGAACATGGGATGAACTGCAAACAATAGGATGAAAGCATGAGTTGACAGACTAAGCTCCACTGGGAGAGAAAGGGCAGACGAAGAAGACAGATGAAAGGATGTATATTTTAGTCAACATATTAGACATCTGAAAAATTAGGAACTGTTTATGTTGAAATATTGAACAAGATGAGAATTCCTTACAGATGGTCTCTTAGGGGTATAGTCTAAACATATGAATTTGAAAAAAGTGACTGAGGATGTAAGTCTTGACTTATAATTTTGAAAGTTGTTTGAGGGATATAGTCTCTACATATAACTTTAGAGGTGTTTTTTTTTCTTTTAAGAGATTTGGTATTTTTGTGTAACTCTGAACGTTGCTTAGAGGTACAGTCTTCACATACTCCTGTGAAAAATGTATAGAGGTTGATCGTCTTGGCAAATGTCACTTTCACCGGTGCAAGCCAGAAAGTCTCTCAGCCACTTGTCAGTTCTCCAGCCTTATAAATGTTCATGTCCAAGATGGCATTTAGTGCCATGTCTCCATGTAGTCCCAGCAAAAATGGCTACCAAGAAATGTTCTAGTGAGTAAAGGCTGATGTGATATTGTCCACATCACCTGTCACGTGCTGATTGGTGTATTTAAAATATGAGGCTAATATTATATGCCCAATGGGAGAAATGGTAAAGATAACCAAAAGGATCCTTTTCCACGCCTTCAAGCATACAGGGCTAGACCACGACCGGCTCCAGCTCACGGGCCGTGCTGCTGACATCACCGGGTCGGGCTAACGATGCGTTAACGCAGCGGTTCTAAAACTGGGACGTCGAGGTACACCAGGAGTGCCGAGAGCGTATGCCAGGGGTGCCGCGGCAATAATCAAGAAAAGTCGGCTAAAAATTGTGAAATTATTAAAGAAGGCATATAGATACTTGAAAGTTTAAATTTAAGTTGTCTTCCCTCGCCACTGTCGTAAACAGTCTATTTCTTGTTTGAGAATTGCTGCGTTAACGCGTCGTTTTGACCCCGTGACGTCAGCAGCATGGCCCATCAGCTGGAGCCGGTCGTGGCTAGACCTATATTTTATAGACTAGTCTGCATTTGATGGTTGACGTGGACAACATGCCTCTACTTTCCAGGACTTTACCCAGTACCCATTTAAGGTTGGGTTGACCTGGGAGCCAAGGTCATTTCAGAACAAAGTTCAGCTCCATAAGGGCCTGAACCCACGATCTTCAGATCCACAGGCGAGCATCTAGCCACTACACCACAGAGCCAAGGAAGCATATGGCTAGATTTTTTTTTTTATTACTTTGGCGAGGTCAACCCAACCTAAAATTGGTACCAGGTAAATTACTGAAAGTAAAGGTGGTCAGCAGGATGTTGGCCGCATCATTAACATGGGCTGACTTGTCTACAAGATATGAGTCTAGCTTCACATGCTCGATGCGCTATCAGTGTTAAAATGATGATCTAATTTTTACATTGACAATACGCACATGAGGACTCAAGCCCTGGAATGGGTTCTATTTATTTACTTAAAAACTGGAAAAAACATTATCAGTGTCCAGAAACTTAAAAACTGGAGAGAAAAAAAACATTACCCGTGTCCAGAAACTTACAAACTGGAGGAAAAAAAACATTACCCATGTCCAGAAACTTATAAACTGGCAAAAAAACATTACCCTTGTCTAAAAACTTACAGACTGGAAAAAAACATTATCCATGTCCAGATACTTGCAAACTGGAAAAAACTATAACTGTGTCCAGAAACTTACAAACTGAGAAAAAAAAACATTACTTGTATCCAGAAACTTACAAACATGGATTTAAAAATCTCTGTTTAGAAACTTAACAAACATGCATAAAAATTTATCTGTGTCCAAAAACTTACAATGGATAAACAATTCTCTGTTTAGAAACTTAAATCATGGATACAACATTACCTCTGTCCAGAATCAGGGATAAAACTACCTGTGTCAAGAAACTTACAAATGTGGATAAAACTACCGGTGTCAAAAAACTTACAAACATGGATAAAATATTACCTCTGTCCAGAAACTTCTGAGTTAATGGCAGCCCTCTTTGTTCAAACAGTTTCTTAATGCTGAAATATTCCTTCAGTTTGTCTTGTCTAAACTGGTTGACCACATCTGCAGTCTCTCCACCTAGTGTTGATTCCAAGCAGTGGTCATCTATTGGTTTGTAACCCACCTTGATCACCCCAGACAATTCACCAAAAAACGTATGTTTATCAAATGATGTTGGCCGCATCATTAACATGGGCTGACTTGTCTACAAGATATGAGTCTAGCTTCACATGCTCGATGCGCTATCAGTGTTAAAATGATGATCTAATTTTTACATTGACAATACGCACATGAGGACTCAAGCCCTGGAATGGGTTCTATTTATTTACTTAAAAACTGGAAAAAACATTATCAGTGTCCAGAAACTTAAAAACTGGAGAGAAAAAAAACATTACCCGTGTCCAGAAACTTACAAACTGGAGGAAAAAAAACATTACCCATGTCCAGAAACTTATAAACTGGCAAAAAAACATTACCCTTGTCTAAAAACTTACAGACTGGAAAAAAACATTATCCATGTCCAGATACTTGCAAACTGGAAAAAACTATAACTGTGTCCAGAAACTTACAAACTGAGAAAAAAAAACATTACTTGTTTCCAGAAACTTACAAACATGGATTTAAAAATCTCTGTTTAGAAACTTAACAAACATGCATAAAAATTTATCTGTGTCCAAAAACTTACAATGGATAAACAATTCTCTGTTTAGAAACTTAAATCATGGATACAACATTACCTCTGTCCAGAATCAGGGATAAAACTACCTGTGTCAAGAAACTTACAAATGTGGATAAAACTACCGGTGTCAAAAAACTTACAAACATGGATAAAATATTACCTCTGTCCAGAAACTTCTGAGTTAATGGCAGCCCTCTTTGTTCAAACAGTTTCTTGATGCTGAAATATTCCTTCAGTTTGTCTTGTCTAAACTGGTTGACCACATCTGCAGTCTCTCCACCTAGTGTTGATTCCAAGCAGTGGTCATCTATTGGTTTGTAACCCACCTTGATCACCCCAGACAATTCACCAAAAAACGTATGTTTATCAGGTGTCAGCTGAAATAGTGACAGATAAGGAATACTCTTTGAATTTATACTATAACTTCAGGTGCCATTAAAAAAAATATCACAGTCCAGACTATAACTTCAGATGTCATTAAAAAAGTATCACAGTCCAGACTATAACTTCAGATGTCATTAAAAAAGTATCACAGTCCAGACTATAACTTCAGATGTCATTAAAAAAGAAAATAATAGTCCAGATTATAGCTTCAGGTCTTATTTAAAAGTATAATTCCTCTGACCACATCACCAATCTACTGACCACATCACCAATCTACTGACCACATCACCAATCTACTGACCACATCACCAATCTACTGACCACATCACCAACCTACTGACCACATCACCAACCTACTGACCACATCACCAATCTACTGACCACATCACCAACCTACTGACTACATCACCAACCTACTGACTACATCACCAATCTACTGACCACATCACCAACCTACTGACCACATCACCAATCTACTGACCACATCACCAATCTAGTGACCACATCACCAAACTACTGACCACATCACCAACCTACTGACTACATCACCAATCTAGTGACCACATCACCAATCTACTGACCACATCACCAATCTACTGACTACATCACCAACCTACTGACTACATCACCAACCTACTGACCACATCACCAATCTACTGACTACATCACCAATCTACTGACCACATCACCAACCTACTGACCACATCACCAATCTAGTGACCACATCACCAACCTACTGACCACATCACCAATCTAGTGACTACATCACCAAACTACTGACCACATCACCAACCTACCGACTACATCACCAACCTACTGACCACATCACCAACCTACTGACCACATCACCAATCTACTGACCACATCACCAATCTACTGACCACATCACCAATCTAGTGACCACATCACCAACCTACTGACTACATCACCAATCTAGTGACCACATCACCAACCTACTGACCACATCACCAATATACTGACCATATCACCAATTTACTGACCACATCACCAATCTACTGACCACATCACCAATCTACTGACCATATCACCAATTTACTGACCACATTACCAATCTACTGACCACATCACCAATCTACTGACCATATCACCAATCTACTGACTACATCATTAATTTGTTAACCAAATCACCAATCTATTGACCACATAATTAGTCTAATCTCTGTAGCACGTGTTGATTTCTGTAGCACTTGTTGATTTCTGTAGCACGTGTTGATTTCTGTAGCACGTGTTGATTTCTGTAGCACGTGTTGATTTCTGCAGCACGTGTTGATTTCTGTAGCCCGTGTTGATTTCTGTAGCCTAGGTGTTGATTTCTGTAGCCTAGGTGTTGATTTCTGTAGCACGTGTTGATTTCTGTAGCATGTGTTGATTTCTGTAGCCCGTGTTGATTTCTGTAGCCCGTGTTGATTTCTGTAGCACGTGTTGATTTCTGCAACACGTGTTGATTTCTGTAGCACATGTTGATTTCTGTAGCACGTGTTCATTTCTGTAGCACGTGTTGATTCCTGTAGCACGTATTGATTTCTGTAGCAAGTGTTGATTTCTGTAGCACATATTGATTTCTGTAGCCCGTGTTGATTTCTGTAGCACGTGTTGATTTCTGCAGCACGTGTTGATTTCTGTAGCACGTGTTGATTTCTGTAGCACGTGTTGATTTCTGTAGCCTAGGTGTTGATTTCTGTAGCCTAGGTGTTGATTTCTGTAGCACGTGTTGATTTCTGTAGCACGTGTTGATTTCTGTAGCACGTGTTGATTTCTGTAGCACGTGTTGATTTCTGTAGCCTAGGTGTTGATTTCTGTAGCCTAGGTGTTGATTTCTGTAGCCTAGGTGTTGATTTCTGTAGCTAAGGTGTTGATTTCTGTAGCACGTGTTGATTTCTGTAGCACGTGTTGATTTCTGTAGCCTAGGTGTTGATTTCTGTAGCCTAGGTGTTGATTTCTGTAGCACGTGTTGATTTCTGTAGCCTAGGTGTTGATTTCTGTAGCACGTGTTGATTTCTGTAGCCTAGGTGTTGATTTCTGTAGCACGTGTTGATTTCTGTAGCACGTGTTGATTTCTGTAGCATGTGTTGATTTCTGTAGCATATGTTGATTTCTGTAGCCTAGGTGTTGATTTCTGTAGCATGTGTTGATTTCTGTAGCCTAGGTGTTGATTTCTGTAGCCTAGGTGTTGATTTCTGTAGCATGTGCTGATTTCTGTAGCATGTGTTGATTTCTGTAGCACATGTTGATTTCTGTAGCATGTGTTGATTTCTGTAGCATGTGTTGATTTCTGTAGCCTAGGTGTTGATTTCTGTAGCATGTGTTGATTTCTGTAGCATGTGTTGATTTCTGTAGCACATGTTGATTTCTGTAGCATGTGTTGATTTCTGTAGCCTAGGTGTTGATTTCTGTAGCACGTGTTGATTTCTGTAGCCTAGGTGTTGATTTCTGTAGCCTAGGTGTTGATTTCTGTAGCCTAGGTGTTGATTTCTGTAGCTAAGGTGTTGATTTCTGTAGCACGTGTTGATTTCTGTAGCACGTGTTGATTTCTGTAGCCTAGGTGTTGATTTCTGTAGCATGTGTTGATTTCTGTAGCACGTGTTGATTTCTGTAGCCTAGGTGTTGATTTCTGTAGCATGTGTTGATTTCTGTAGCCTAGGTGTTGATTTCTGTAGCACATGTTGATTTCTGTAGCATGTGTTGATTTCTGTAGCACATGTTGATTTCTGTAGCATGTGTTGATTTCTGTAGCCTAGGTGTTGATTTCTGTAGCACGTGTTGATTTCTGTAGCACGTGTTGATTTCTGTAGCCTAGGTGTTGATTTCTGTAGCACGTGTTGATTTCTGTAGCATGTGTTGATTTCTGTAGCCTAGGTGTTGAATAGCCTTGGCTTAGGTGTTGTAAATGCCAAGGTTGCAGGTTAAATCCCAGCCTAGACATCTGGCATATTTGTATGCATACAGATGGTTCCTTGCCTCTCAGGCAGATGCACTCTGACTTTGAAGAAAATCCCTAATTTGTTGACTCTAAGGCATGCTTTTTAGAGGGACAGTGAGTTTATTCTTTTTGTACCCCCACAATATGGTCCTGCAACCCACATTGGATACAATGCAGATTTAAATGCAAGACCTTCAGACCGACAGGCAAAGCATCTAGCTTCTATACCACCAAACAAGTTTAAGGCAGAGCCAAATTGATTAACAATGTCAGTAACCTGTCCTCTGCATACTGCATATAGTTTTCTCTGCATGGACTTTAAATGAGATACTCCAGAATCACGAGGATCCTCTGTTCTCTGTGTATTCACTTTATTAAAACGGACTATGTCTCCCTTCTTTTGTTTATCAAAAGTATCTGAAAAATATATGCTGGTTCTTTACAACAGGTTTCTGTAACATGTCTTAAATCATTAACTTCTTGTCTCATTTAACTAAATACAGAAGAACTAACCCCTTTACTGTGAGCTTTCCGTCTAAGGTTAGATGCTGTTGCTGCACGAGAAGATGTTGGCCTGATTTCACTGCCTGTTGGTTTTGAGTAAAAATTAATAGGAGTTAGTATTTGGAATGTTGTTTCAAAAAGCCTGTACTTGAAAACAGATAAAAGGCAGCAGACGTCAAACAATCATCATCATCAGTGTACTGTTGTGCTATTATAGGTCACATATGGATCACAGTTTATTCCTCTATTCCATTCTATCCTGTGCAATCCCTTCGATATCACGGATGAAATACAGTCCAGCACCTTAGGCCTCCCTCATCAATGTACATTTAGGGTTTCCTCTTTTGGGTTTCCTCACTTTCTTAACTTTTTATTTCCCATTTTAGTACCTGTCTGGTGATTCTCTGCTCATTTCTTCTCAGGATGTCTCTAATCTGGTGCCATATATTTTGTTTAATAACTGTCATTGTCACCAGTGATTGCTCAGAAATTGCTCTTATTTCTTCACCTCTCCTGAGTTCTTCTACCATTTTATTTTCAAGCAATGGATACATGCAAATTAAACTACTGAACAGATGTGACCAGTATTATAGGGTAAATGTCAAATAAGGGGGACACACACTCTCTCTCTCTCTTTCTCTCTCTCTCTCTCTTCCTCTATTCTTCTTCTTTTCATTCACTGGCTGTAAACTCCAGTGGAAAGTTATGGTTGTTTGTCCACTTTTGGACTTTTGGCTTGTTCCAGAACCTATTGCAGGCACATTTGTTTTTTAGATCTGGCTTATTTGTATGCAGATTGTTGGTTTCTTGCCTCTCATGTGGATGCACTTGGACTTGAAAGAAAGGCCTCCAATAAGTCCACTCTTATGACAATTTGCTGGGGAGGCAGTGGCTCTACTTGTGTTTTCCCCCACAATAGAGCCCAAGGACCCACACAAGGATCTATATGTTCAACACCATCTTCCTACCCACTGTCTGCTGACAATGTCATACTATTAAATATTAAATAATGCACACACTCATTTAAATAAAAAATCCCCCTTTGGAAGAGCAGCCTGAAAGACTGACACTCAGTGACTCAAAGAGCCATTTTTCTTCTGTGAATCAACAGAATCAAATTCAAGATATCCTGACCAACTTCTAATAAAAGAGTAACACTGGAACACCCTACTGTTAAAAAATTACCCTGCTTACCTAAGACATTTGGTAGGCATCCATTTACATTGTATTTCAGAAGTATATAATAAAACTGACCAAAGATTGCTGCAAAATGCCAAAAAAGACTAAATGCGCTCAAAATTATGGCAGCAATGAATATGGAGCAAAGAATGCTGTTCACAATGTTTCAGCCCTTGATCCTATCTGTGACAGATTATGGACTCAATCATGGAATGCTTACCATATCACAGAGTCAGCTGCCCCATTCTTCTGAATATTTACCCTTTCAAGGTATTATTTCCTCCAAATGTCTATTACATCTGGCCTAATAAACGTAGGTCATCAATATGGTCTCAAAATACAGCATGTAACTGGGTCACTGGTTGCTGTTGACTGTCTGACCAGTTTCCTCAACCTCTGTCAGTCAGATGCAATGGACTTGGTGTTAACATGTTTGAAGCTTGTTCATTCAGCCAAATTCTGCAGCCAGGTCTTTCTTGATCTGCCTCATCAGCTCTTCCTCTCAATAGAGTCTTGTAACATTAAATCAGGTTAAATAACCAAACCATTGCATTTTCTATCTTTTCATTGTTGTTTAAAGAGATTGACAGTTGCCACTGTGTTGAGTGGTGGTATGGTGTACTTCATAATCTGTGAAGATAGATATACCCAGGATCTTTCTAAAAGTTCTCATTTCCAATGCTTGTATATATTTCTTTCATGTTTGGATGTTATGGTCCACATTTCCCAGTCATATGTAAAGGTACTGATAACTGGTGATCTAAGCAGTTGTATTCTTTGTTTTACATGAAAATTTTTGGATTTTCGTAATACTTGCTGCCTAGCAAGGATTAACATTGTGTATGCAATTCTTAAAATGATTTCTGGTTTGTACTCTTGGACATTTACAATTGATCTGAAATATCTGAACTGATCCACTAAAGGCAGCTATATAAAAGAAATCAAAAACCTACCCACGATCAGCAAGGACATTCTGCTGTTAAAGGAGGAAATTCAGAACCTCAAGAAAGAGAACACACTAATCAAGGTCCAAAGGGACCAAGAAAGGGATGACATGACAGATCTGAGAGGAATCCTGCAGTCATCCCTTGAAACCCAGAGAAGACTGGAAAAAGAGAATGTCGAGATGATGGCGTTCAAGACAGAACTAATGGCGATGCTGACAGAACTCAAGAAAATAAAAGAAGCAAATGGCGCAGCTGCCAAAAAGCTCCAAGACGATCAAACAAGCCTAAAATCCGAAGTCACTACCATCAAGAACGAACTGATAGCAGGCAAAGCAGAGTTAACAAAGACTAAGGAAGAATGCACCCAACTGAGCGCCGCACTGCAAGCCACCAACAAAGTGATGGACGCCAGAGAAAGCGCAAAGAAGGAAGTGGAAAGAAAAAGGCAGTCCGTCGAAAACTTCGCCAAAACACAGGCAGCCAAGCAAAAAACCGCTGAAAAAGCACAGGAGGAGGCTCCGAAAGAAGCAGCGAGCGACACTAACCAAATTATTGGAACACAGCTGAACCCAAAAGAAACGCAAGAACAATTACCTGTCCCAGAGAACGAAGACACTGAACAGAGCTTGGTCACAGAAGAAGCACACCGCCTGATCAAGTAAGCAAAGCATTTGAGATGCCAGCCATCGTAGCAGACGGCAAAATGACAGAAAGATACATCCACGAGTTGGAGAGAAGACTAAGCAAACTGATCAAGCCAAACATAGGAATTTGGACCACAAGAGGATTCTGGGACGAAGTGAACAAGAGAGGAAAACGTAAAGTCACCACAAGACAACAGGAGTTCAAAAACAAACTACTCGCAGAAATGGCAAGAGCCCATAAGATCCTCAATCCAAACCAACCCAGCTATGAAAGGCCCCAGGCCAGAAAAACCAACATAAGAGCCGTCGCCGACCACTCGCCTACCGAGAAAACCCGAAAACCAGTAGAGACCAGCAACCAATAGAAACCATGCAAGACGCCATGACAGCCGACCAAGCCAGCTCACCAGACCGCAAACACGTTACAGCTCTGACCAGCCAGGCATGACAGTCTACACTCAATCCATCCCCGCCATTCCCTGATTCCAGTGCCGCCCCAAGGCTATGGCCTGCCCTTTTTAGAGCAGACCGAGATCCCCACCGTATTCAACAGAAATCGGATAAAGCGACAAACGCTGCAATCAAAGAAAGATAATTGGAAACCAAGTTCAAACAAACAAATGACGCCAAGATAGAGTCGCCGCTAATTTTAGAAGCTGACTGAAATTGGCAAGAATCTTTCGCTTTTTTTATCAACACCAAGTACCAAGTACCTACCTTCTAAAGTATTTTTTATACTGAGAGCTTTCTTTGTTTTTCCTTCAGTTTGGCTTTTTGTAAATCTCTTCTGTTTATGCCAGAGTTGTAGACCCTTATTGAATGCTTGGTATGAGAGTTTCCCTTTCAGATCTGCATCTAACATAACAAACATGGCGTCCACATCTGCTTCAGTCAAGGGGTGGTCAGTCTGTTAAGTTCATGTTAATAATATATGTATTAATAAAATTACACGCATCTAAACTTATCACTCACTTTTTATTCTCACATACAAATATGGGTTGGATAAATTTAAATGGCGAAATGGTCAAGCTGTTTGTCACGGGCTCTGAAGGTTGTGGGTTCATTTCACGACTCTGTCATTCAGTTCACGAGTGCAATTTTTATGAAGATTCCTGGGGATCATTACCGGAGCTACAGAGTTCATGCTTTGTGTGATGCTCTCAGCAGGCGGCTAGCCATTCTGCAGAGGAAGACCAAGCCGTATGGGATAAAACCTGGTGCAATGAAGTCGATCATCTCGACTTTAACCTTTTAGTGCACACATAGGAAAAACATTGTCTCCATCCAGAAAAAATAACTTGAAGATCAATTAGGTAGTTAGTCGATAGATTATCCTCATGGCACATAGAACCACTCAGTCATAAAGTGCTTGGATCCCCTTCTCAGTAAATGCTGCAGCTTTTAGCAGCTCACAACACCAGTTCATTGTTGGTTTCTTATTCTTCTTTGGCTTCCTGCATAGTGCTCTTCTCTAGCCACATCACTTTTAACATGCTGTTCTTGCAGCCTGGTCAAGGTTGCAGATTCACAGTCATCACTTGGTTCTCGTAAACATCTTCCTTCTCGTAGAGCATTCAGAATAGCTGCCTAGTCCATAGTTCGTCCGCCCTCCACAGTAGCTTTACCTGCAAGCCTATCAGCTTGCTCATTTCTTTGCATGTCCTGGCACAAAAATGAAACTCATATGTGTTAGCACCGACCGCTTTAGAGACTTCCACCACTGTCTTCAGACCCAGCCATCTCTTCCTGAGAATACTTACTGGACTTGCAGGTTTGACATAGTGACTCAAGGAGCCACTTTTTAGATGCCAATAAAACAGGGGGAAAATTGTAGACAGTGTACAAACAGTTTTATTAGCACCTTTAAAAAAAAGGTTCTCTTCCTGGATTGCAGTTTTCAGGGTTCATATCTCAAGGATGGGAATCCAACAGGTACAAATCCCAGAAACCATATTCAGCCATCCAACACAGTTATATTTGGGCACCCAATTATTACAGCATAACCTGTTGCCCAATGCAGGTGGATTATATTACCAACATAAATACTTAGTTACGAAACTGATATAACACAGTCACACAAAACACTTCAACAAATTATCAATGCCTAACACATAAATAGGTGATCTGTATTATTTTCAACAACTGTTTTAGGTTTCTGCCAGGAGTAGGCACTCAGTGACACTGTCTTAACTACACAACAATGTCAAGTTTCTGCCAAGAACAGACACAGTAAAAAAGATATAATTAACAACAATTTAAGAGGAAAATAAAGAATACACTCACAACCTATTAACTCTTTCAGTCCCAAGGAATACATCATATGTTCATAGGTTCCTCTCTAGAAGGTCAATGAATGCAAGATATGCTGATTTTATGTTTCTCTTAACTACTCCTTAGGCATCTGATGCTAAACCCCCTGGACTGAAATAGTTAACAAGCATGTCATTAAAGATAACTTCTCTTGTGGGTTCTAGGGTGCCACTGTTGGGAAAACCAGACTAGACCCATGCCTCCCCAACAAGCAAAAACAATAGATGACTCCCCCCCCCCCCCACCCCACCCGTACTCGGAAGGTAATGGATTAGTTTCAGGAACTGTCCTGTTTAGTTCATGAGTTCCCCATGTGGGTTCCAGGGCCCCATTGTTGGGAAAACAAGACTAGACCTATGACCTACCCAACAAGTAAAAAATGGTTGAACGCCCCCCCCCCCCCACCCCCCATCCCCCCAACGTACTTGGAAGGTAATGGGTTCACTTCAGGAACTGCACTGTTCAGTTCATGAATTCCCAATGTGGGTTCCAGGGTCCAATTGTGGGGAAAACAAGAATGGACTCACTGCCTCACCAACAAGCATGTCGTAAAAGTCAACTTACTGGGAGCTTCATTTGAAGTCGGAGTCCATCTGCCTGAGAGGCAAGGAACCAACAATCTGCATACACATGTCAGATCTGTAAAATGGATGTGCATGCAACACTTAGGTTCTGAAACAAGACTAAAATCCACAGGTCAGCAAAAAACCAGAAATTTCTGCTGTGGTTTACAACCCGTGTAAACGAAGAAGAAGATTAAAGGTAACTAATTAAAGTTTGGCTGAAACTGGATGTGTTGGATCTAAGGGAGAAGATCACAGCCTTACTGTAAACTACAACACAATATGCTAACTGCCCTTTTGAAGGCGACTACAGAAGAAGAAAAAGAAAGTTTCTGCCAAGAATACTCAGCATCATTAGGATAAATCCAAAAAGAATATAAAAGAAAGATTTCTGCCGAATATTTCTGCCAAACATATAGATCATTTTCTCTTCTGTACAATTATGTATAATTACCTGAGTAACAGCACTGAGGATCTCCTGTCGTGTCAAAGACTGATTCTTGTTTTTATCTGCCCTGCGAAACAGATCCATCAAACGCATATGATTCTGAGATAAGAACATATCTAGAATCTGAATTCCATTCAAAGAGGTAACAGCAACATAAGGAATACCTGGATGAAGTTTGGGAGTTGGCCGAATTTCTTCTAGTTTTTGAATACGATGAGCTCGATACTGTGCCAGGACTCTTTTTTCAATTTCAGATTTATTTATCTTTCGTGCCAGATAAGTTTCATCTGGCAACAGATTATCAAGATAACTGCGAAGCTGTTTTCTCTCTGCAATCAAATTGTTATAATGTGTTACATAGGCTTTCTCTTCTTCTGCTTTTCCAACAATTGTTTCTTCTGTCTCCAACCTTACAGGGGGAGGTTTTGGTTGTCCATTCATGGGCAAATTTGATGGAGGTTCAAACTCTTCTTGATAAAATCCGAGTCTGTGTTTCAAAAGAGTCTCCATGGGTGGAGCAATATGAACCCTGGTGCGTTTACTTGGGCCACCAAATATTTTTACAGCTGTTTTGTAACGTTTCACGTGTGCAAGGTCTCGCTGTTTAAACAGTGAAAGTCTTTTCTCTGTGGGAATATGATCAAAGTTGTAAAGATCAAAGAGACGTTCCATATCAAAGCTGATGTCCGTGTCCTGAACACATTCCCCGTTGCTTGGCGCCATTGTTTTTATACGGAAGTGTTTCTGAAGATTATAGGATGTTTTAGTTTTAAGTTTTAGCAGTTCTTGCTGACTTAATCCGATAATGCTGGGCAAGTATCAGCAGTTATTAAGATAAGCGATCATAAAGTTATAGTAAATAAAATGATAGGCTTATTTTTAATTCATTATTTTAATTGTTACTGGCGTCTAAAATAGACCATAAGAAAACCTTTAATTGTCTGGATTCTGAACTCCTATGGCCACATTACTTAGTAACAAACTAAGTTTAAAAAAGCGACCGCCATTGTTGCTACTGTAAACAACCAAACATCTGCTTTAACAATTCTTTGCCCCGGGAGAGCGTCTCTCGCATCGTCATGAGAAAACGGACTTGGATATTGTCATGCCTAAGCTTTACCAGTGCCAAACATGGACGCTATCTAAAGCCCATAAACGCAAAATCACCACCTGCGAGATAAGGTGACTGAGAAAAGCAGCCAACCTAACCATCCAAGATCGAGTGAATAATGAAACTGTCAGGCAAATTGTGGGGACGACACCTTGTACTAGATTCATCAAAAAACAGGAGATCAAGTGGTTTGGCCATCTTGTTAGAATGCCACAAGAACAAATAATATCACAAGCATTACATCTCAGAAGATCAGCTACAAGAGCAAGAGGACAACCGCGGAAAACATAGATCGACAACATTAAAGACACTCTACGCCTTCACGGCGTAACAATAGCCAGTGGCAGCCAACGTGCACTGGATCGCAAATAATTCTTCCCCACGACGCTTAACGGCAGAAGTGGTTTATGATGATGTCTCTGCTACATAAATCCTACTGGACAGGGAAGGCGTGGGCAATGTAAGCTGGGGAAAGAAGGGATTGAAGCATGTGGTGCTTGACCTGGGTCAATGGAACCACAGCGCAGTAGAGGTTCAAGGTCATACACGGGTAGAAAATAGTGGCACCGCCTGAAATTTAGTGAATGTTTATGCTTCTATGGACTCTTTTGTCACAAAGAACATCAGGTCTCATAAGCCCCCCCCCCCTTTTTTTTTTCCCTCCCATTTACATGGGGCGCTCAGTAACCACAACCCCCCCCCCCCCACCCCTACACACACATACACACACACACAGACACACAAACATTATTTCAAGTCATTACTTCGATCATTTTTGAAAAAAGTACAGCTTACGTCAGGACCCGAACCCACGACCTTCCGATCCGCAGGCGAAGCGTCTAGCCGCTAGAGCACGGCAGCTCCCAAAAAGGTATCAGAGACCATCCACTACTTTCCAGTACGTTGCACATCAGCCTAATGTAATTGGGCGTCTGCTAGACAGGTCACGCAGAACACCGGGAAAGAAAAAAGCTATCTTTCAACAGCCCCCGTGGTGGACACCTGAAGTCGCAGAAGCCTGGACAGAGAAACGAGGTGCCACCAAAGACTGGGAGAAATGCAGAAAGTCTTCGAATTTTACTGAGGCGCAGAAACAAGACATTAAACCCAAAAAAGACAGACTCGCTGAACATTTTAAACAACTCGCAAAGCACACAATGTGTGAACATTTTTGCCAAGAAATAGGTTGCGAAAAATCTCTCAGAAAATTCTGGCGGCTCCACCGAAAGATGAACGGAGGCAAACAAACCTCTGTTATGCCCGAGCTAAAGATGGACAACGGGGTGGTGTTACAATCGGATAAAGACAAAGGCGAGGCTATCCTGCACAGATTTCTCCTGCAGACGGAAAAGAAAGATAGGGAAGAGAGGGAGCAGATGAAACAGAGTTTACATGATATGGCTGAAATAGAGGAAGTCGATGATACAGTATACATCTCTATGATGTAATTATTAAAAGAAAGAGCCGCATTTCTCTTGTTTATCAGCCGCATCTAGTGGTAAAAAACGTAGTTGCAGAACCAACCCCGGCTTTTTATGATTTCACTAGGCAGTTTTATGTTGAGACTTAACGGTCAGCTCTCGAAACCACTGTCAAAACCAACATTAGGTCCCCTGCAGCCTCTCAGGACGTTGACATTATTACTGAACCACCAAGCAAACAAGAAATCCTTAAAGTTATCCACACTTTAAAGAACAACAAAGCACCAGGCAAAGACGAACTGCCAGCAGAACTTCTCAAAGTAGATCCCAACACAACTGCTAGCATTCTAGAACCATTGTTCAAGGATATTTGGGAAAAAGAAGTGTTGCCTGATGACTGGACTGAAGGAACAATAGTCAAAATCTCCACACAAAAAAGGAGACTTAACAGACTGGAAAAATTGGAGGGGAATTACTCTACTCTCAGTACCAAGCAAAATATTTTGTAAAATCATCATAATGCGGCTTGAGAAAGGAGTAGATAAATGCCTACGAGTGGAACAAGCAGGATTCAGAAAGGGCAGAGGAACAACAGAGCACATCTTCGCCATACGTAATATTTTAGAACAATGCAACGAATGGCATTGAAGTATATATATTAATTTTGTGGACTTTAAGAAAGCTTTTGACAGCCTCCATAGAGACAGTCTGTGGAAAATGTTACGACATTGTGGAATTCCAGAAAAATTAGTCAACATAATTGCTCTCTTCTATAAAGACTTTTCCTGCAGTATAAAAAATTACAATACATCTTTCCCAGTAAAGACGGGTGTAAGACAGGGATGTGTTATCTCTCCTCTTCAAGCCTGTGATTGATTGGATACTAAAGAACACAGTAGACAGGACATGCTTGAGGACCTTGATTTTGCAGATGATATAGCACTCCTATCACATAAACATAAACATATACAAGAGAAAAGTAACAGACTAAACTGCACCTTAAACGCACAATCCTATTTTTGACCCAGACGGGACTCAATGTGTAGCATGACTGATGTCGAATGCAGAAGAAGAAGAAAAAATGCTGTTAAACATGATTTTTTTTAAATAGGGGAGCTCCTGTCAAGAGGTTGTAGTTCTCCCTCTTCTGATGGCCTCAACCACAGACAACACTACTCTTGTAGAATTTCTCTGATGCTTTCTTTCTATATTGTTAATTGTCTACCTCATGATTTACGTCATTCTGCTCTTTTGTTATAAACCTTGTATGGAATGGCGTCGCAAGGTATTCTCTCTAAATGTGCACACTAATGTATTTATTGTCTTTATGTATTGTTTAGCATTGGTTCTGTGGCGAAATGTTTTCATATGACTTCATTCCTGATTGCATCTTTTCTGGTCACTCGTACAACCCCTCTCATTAGCCAAAATCCACCCCAATATGAGACGCAATTTTTTGTTAATGTAAAGCCCCACCCGAGCGTCGTTAGGGACCCTAAATATAAAATACGGGTTGAATGGGATTTCTGGGACTTCACCCGGGAGATTCTCATCCCAGTAGTAGCACTTTGTGTCACCGGGTGTTTGTCGCTTGTTGAGCAGTCCTGGTGAGGTTGAACGTCACTCACTTAGTGCCTCATCATTCTCAGACATTGTAGTTTCGACTGTCGTTTTTGAAATCTTCAGAATACTCTGTCATTAAAAAAAGCTCATTTACTGAGCCATTTTAACACTAAAACAAAATCAGCAGCAGATAGAGTCTGCAATACGAGATCAGCAGGCTACACCGCAAGAGGTCGACCGAGAAAGAAATGACACTTCAGGAACATAGTATGACATTATAACAGCTAAGCAACTATCAACAACAACAAAAACAGAAAGAGAGAAATTACATCTAACTGCTCTCTGCGACGATTCACGGCATTAACAGCTGGACAAAAGACGAAGAAGAAGAACACTAAAAGAAGTCAAAAACCTACATTTGCTTTACAAAGTGGCCATTCCAACCTGTGCTATTGATCGTGTACTCTTGGCTGAGATCCTGATAATGCTCTCTTGTCAAAGGCGTCAAAACCAGAGGGCTTAGAAGCCTTGCCTGTCCTCTAACCAAATGTATTAAAGGCATTGTGAGGAAGAGGATGGGGGGGGGGGGAGGGGGGCTAAACTGACCCCTACCCGTCAGCCATGTGTAAATGTTCTATTGTTAACGCTTTTTTTTAACATTTCATAGTATTTCAAAAATATTATTATATTTATTTGCAAATCAGCACATTATTATTAGTATTACCATTAAGCACGCAAACAAGGTTAAAGCTATTTGAGGCCCTCCCCCTCCCCATATTTTCTTTTTAACGTCGCTTCTGGATACTGTTTATGTTATGTGTTTGCAAACAGAAAGCAGAGACAAATTACTGGCAGCACCGATCGTTAATTATACATCGCGAATAGTTCGATCATGTATGATCTAGTGACGTCACATTTCCGCTGTTTACTTACTCTGCCCGGAGCGTTTCTAAAATAGTGTCTCCTCTCTCTCTCTCTCTCTCTCTCTCTCTCTCTCTCTCTCTCTCTCTCTCTCTCTCTCTCTTTTTTTTTTTTTTTCTTTCTCTTTCCCACCTACTAATTATCTCGTTCTTTCCTTCACTCTGTTCCCACCGACTGCTTGATTTTTATTTATTTCTCCTCCTCCTACTCTTTGTCATCATCAACGTTATCTTCTTCATCACCTCTTCCTCTCTCTCTCTTCCTCCTCCTCAGCTCCTTATACCAGCGAAGACTGGAGGGAGAACCTCGTTTATCATCTGACGATCTCCTCTGTATTCTGAGCATTTGATTCATTACCTACATATCTTCTACAGCCAGATGTTTGTTTATAATTGTCTCTGCCCCGCCCCCCCCCCCCCACCCCGCTGTGAATATGTGTCTGGGTCTCATGTGAAAATACATGCCAATATATTTGACTGCTCTTTTTCTCCTTCAAAGTCCTTATGTTTTCTCAGCGGGCACATCACAAATATACAAATATAATTGGTATCAATAATTTAAATATAACGCACATAACTGCAATATCAAAACCACAAGCACTAGGGCAAAAACATAGACTGTAAACAATTATAGGGAGTCGCCGTGGTGTAGCGGCTAGACGCTCGCCTGCGGATCGGAAGGTCGTGAGTTCGGGTCCTGACGGAGCC